ATTTTTCAGTATATGAATAACAGTTCTCCGTTAATTAATAATTAAAACATCTTAATAGCCTTTTAACAGTTTGTTAGCCAAAAATAATTATGGGATGACATGTACATGTATATTGATGTGAGATAACTGAATGAAAAATGTACATTATTGGTACAAGTATACTTCTTTCTTCACTTTACTGTATTTTTTGCATTCCCCATGAAGGTTAACATAAGCAAATTCCAAGAGTCCACGAGTAATGATCTCTTAAATGTTAAATGTATTTCTTTTGATAAGAATCATTTTGGAACAATTCAATTATTTACTGTGCACGATAAATTTTTAATGCGCACTTCTATATTTATTCATACATGTATCTATTTTATAAGATCATTATCAAAATGCAAATATATATACATCGTCGATGTAAATAAAATACTACTGAACATATGGAAGGGGGAAGCCTCACTATGGTCGTTTAGGGGGGAAGACTCACTATATAGTAATTCTCCCCCCCCCCCCCAACCGGGGAGTCTTACCGCTATATATAGCCAGATTTCCGGGGGGAAGTCTCACTATGGGGTGGGAGTCTCACCATATGACACCGGAATAATTCAAGTTAGCGCTTTAAACTTCTTGGCTGTTGTCCGAGTAAGCTGCTGTGATGTAAAGTCAATAGGAACGCTAAGGTCTTACCAATCCTCTTGTATAACAAATGTTTACAAATTTTACGAATACTGCTTAGTGGTACATTTTTTAAACACATATATACAAAAAATATTTGAAATTAGTGTTGCAAATGTTCACTGAAAGGCAGCTTGCCTCTACCTTCCCCACATTTTTTTGTCGCAGCATAATCATACCCCCCCCCCCCAATGTGTTTTCGAGAGAGTCAAAAAGTTTTTTTTTTCTGACTACCCCCCCCCCTTCTTTTTGAAAAAGAGTTCTTCTGCTTGTAATTGCTGAGGAAAAAATGTTACATTCCACTATTTATTCTGTGACATAAATGAAGCCAAAGAGATGACATTTCAGGCTTTCTGGAAAGCCAAACTTGTGTCAATAGTTACGTTTGAATATTTATGTACGATCTTGACATGAAAGTGAAAGTAGAAATCTTGCATAACAGTTGGTATGTAGGCTATTTTAAGATGCATGGTTATCCATTCGGTTCTTTTATCAAATTATTAATGGAAAATGTTTGTTAGCTCTACTGGTCAGAGACCAGAAGAGCTTATGCAATAGTAAGTTGTCCATCGTCCGTCCGTTTGTTTGTCTGTCTGTCTGTCCGTAAACAATTTTTCAAAACGCTACTCCTCCTAGAGTTTTGGTCTGATTTCAATATAACTTGGCACACAAGTAGACTACACTAAGACACATAATTTAGTGCATCGGTTTTTGATTTTGATGAACGGTGTTGCCATGGTTACTAAAAATAGAAATTTCTGTGAAATTCCTTTAAAACGCTACTCCTCTTACAGTTTTTGTTTGATTTCAATATAACTTGGCACACAAGTAGACTACATTAAGATACATTATTCTATTTATTGCTGAATGTTGCAAAGTTTCAAATCTAAGTGCTACTTTTTCTTTGTTATATGTACAGACCAGTAGAGCTACAGTCTCATCAGAGACTTCTGGTTTTTATTATGTATTAAGCACTGGCGTTCAGTGTCAGAGTGACGTTTTTATTGAAAGAACCCAAAGCTGTTAAGACTGAGGATTCAACCCAAAGCTGATTTGACTGATGATTGCATGATCACAATATACAGGTGAAAATAAATACATATAATATTCACAATAATTAGAGGGTGACTCTTTAATAACAAAATATTTCTTGAGAAATTTCTTTTTGCTTCTTAAATCTACACTGGTTTACTTTATTAAAAATTAATCAAACTTTTTTTTTTACTAAAATATTGAAGATATTGATATGGATAGAACTTACTGGCTTTTAAACTATAAAATATCAGAAAGATGCTCAATTTCAGCCTAATCTGGCATTCAAGATAATAGTGTAAATGTATTTAAAGTGCATCAGCTAATTTATTACGTATTTAAATATTAATTGACATAGAATTTTTTTTTCAACACTAGAGACTTGTATGCCGAGGTTCTACGTACGTACGTACGGTACCGGTGTACTTATTGATGAAGGTTGAAAACAAAACTAAATACTTAGAATTGTAAACAATAAAGGTCACTCATCAACAATAAAACAATGTATCAGCTTGAAATGGTTTTGTTTACTCACTAAATCTTGAAAAACACATGAAAACTATACCGCGCGTAAGTTGCTAGTGTCAATGGACGTAACTCTGATACCGATGTATATGTATGGTGCGCTACCAGAGTTACAATTAAGCAAACTTTTGTCATAAAGTTCAGTGAATGAATTACATTATTTAAAATGTAAATCATTTTGAGATTAAATATCTTTGAAGTGCATTTTTTTTTCAGAAAGTTACGGGAAAAAACAATATTCTGATAAAAAAAATCATATGTGAAATATTTTATTTCACAAATTCAAGAAACTGATTCTTTTTTTTTTCATTATTAAGAAACACTTAAAAGAACCTCCTTCTTTCATCTCCTTTACTTTACAGCAGAGTAGTTAATGGGATCAATGTCCACACGAATAACTCTTTTCCAATTTAACAAAAAGTAATCATTCTTGGCTCCTTTGGCTCCCACAGTCTACATGCACATCATCATCATTTCCAATTTCCAAATGTTAAATTTTAGCATAATCAATATAAATTGCATCCTATTTCACTTTTGGATAATTCTTATTGTTAATGATCTATTGTCATTTAGGATTTGCTCCATAATCTTGGATTTTTTCTTAAACTTGGAGGTAAATTAAAGCTCTTGATGCTGAATTTTCATTTGTTCATTGACACTCCTTTAAAAGTAGCATTATATGCCTTTTTTGGATTTTCAGATTTTTTCTATTGTATTTTTATTTTAATGCTTTTGATTTTTTGATACACACTTAAAACAGAAGATAATTATTTTTTTTTTATCAGATAACAAATAAAGAAAATATAATTGGAAGATAAGTCAGGTTAAAAAAATCTTCATGTTTATTTGCAGTCATCTAAAAAATATTTTTGACTCTTTCATTGTTTTAAATAAATATTGCTGAAACTGTGTTCCATAAATTACTTTTCCACAGTGGTCAAATGACATATGACACCATTCCTAATATAAATAAACCAGACGACAACAAATGTATGCCGATCAGTTGTAAAATGCGCCTATAAATTGACTGTTTGTCACATTTTTACAATGAAGGATATGAGGACTGTTACAGGTGAAGTTTAAAAATGTGTCCATCCAAGGTAATTTTTGATAACTTACAAGGCTTTGCATAATTTTAAGAACTAAAGCAACAGTAATGACAACGAGGTATACCGAATCTTTTTCTAAAAATATCTGGCTGCTAGGTGTCGCCTATAGCGAGTGAATTTATAAATAAAAGGATACCCCGATATCGTAGAACCACCGGTATCATAGGAATGGAGTATACTCACTCTCTTTCGAAGTTTCTTTTAAGTTTTGATTGGAATTTGATTAGAAAATATTTACTGTATGTCAGAATATCTATTTTACAATTTTTATTGGCCCCTCTCCCTGCTATGAATAACATGGAAGAACACCATGACCCTAGGCTTGCTTCAGAATAGGTAAGTACACCCTGTATTACAAGCTTTGTTATTTTCTTCCTAACAAATTTTTGGGATAAATACAGTAATACTGGACACAAAATGTCTATTTCTCTGCCTGTATTTTTGCTTGTATTTTTTTATATCCAAATATAATTTGTATCTAATTATCCATTTAATTCTAATATATTATACTATTTCAACATTCCAAATTCATTTGTAAACATTTAGAAAAACTAATTGGTTTTTTAATGATTGTATTATTAAGTATGTCTTCCAAGAGTGAAATTGTCTTGGACATAACATTATATGGTGTTATACAACTACTATCGTTAAGCGCTGAAGATCTGGACGACAATATGTGCCACGAGGATCTGTCCTCTTTGTCGTCGGTGACAAATTGTGAAGGTATCATTTTTAATATTGCAACAAAATGTACCGATGGGCGACAACATTCGAAGTGCATTAGTGCACATAGTGTTGCCGAAAGACAATATATACAGAGGCGATCATTGCAATACGGTCCGGCGAGTGCAAATACGCTAACCGATTCTCTTCGAAGGGTTGGAAAAACATCGCAAACTTTACTAAGCAACTCCAAAAATAAGAAGTGTTGCTTTAAGGTATTTGACATCTTCGCTAGCCAAGGGTTTCTGATACGCTACTCTCCTCATAAGCCCTTGGCATACGGTGTGAAAAAAAGTTGGGATTTTTTTCTCAAGTTGTGATTGGAGTTGATCGACATCGTTCGACCAATCAGCAATTGTTTTTTGTAAATGACCATATTTGCGTTCGGGATATATCTTGACTCTTTAATATCGGGAATGAAAAACGCAAGTAAACAACGATCCGTAAGATAACATGCCATTCTATAAATAGTTATATGGTGTCATCCAGTATCTTTAAGCTAGGTGCAAAATATGTGATTAAGAATCAATACTGAAGATGTAGATTTGCATTTTAACATGTTTAAATAGCAAATTAACATAACTCAATACCTTCTTGTTAATTATTCTTCAAAAACATTAATTTTTTAAATACGCTTTTTATTTCTGTCGATGACGCAATCTTTGCGTACCTGGTAAGAATCGTGATCACGTGACGAAAACAATCCCGTCTTTTTGTCAGCACCGTATGCCAAGGGTTTATGAGAGAGTAGCGTATCAGAAACCCTTGGCTAGCGAAGATGGGTATTTGAATTCTGACTTAAATTTTCAAACCAAACTTATGTAAGCTAATACATGATCATCCCGTGCTCAAAGTACTCCATGCTTAAAAGGCTTTCACATGCGTAAGTTTATGTGCAATAAAATGTACAGTGGAAAATCACTCGAACAAAAACAATGTTCATACAACCTTCAGCTTTAATTGTTATATTAGCGATGACTTTTCTTTTGTATTTCAATGAGTAATTTCCGAAAGATCTCCGATCAGGAATAGGAATGGTGCTGTTGATCCAGTGCTTGTAGATAACGTTATCTCTTTGTGAGATTTTAGTTGATATGGAATGCGATGTAGGTCCTGACCAAGTGAACCCTGATGAAGATGTTAAGGGATTTGCAATAAAAGGCAAACTAACATGAACGTTAACGTCCGGGCCACTCAATGACCCACAGATGCTTTTGAATAAATTGGAGTTATCAAGGCGAGGTTCACCTATAAGATAAGATACATATATGCATATAAGTACATGTACCTGCAAGTCTGATTATCAAATCACCCTAGTTAAAAGTAATGAGTAAATCAATTACATCCGTTTATTTTGTAGTTTTTAATGTATAATGCAAATAATTATAAATTTCTTTAAAAAATACACTAACAAAAATTTACTATAGTTAATTATTGTAAAAACTTTGATACTTTGATTTACTATGGCACTTTACTCTAGAGCTTTTTTTGAGATTTCAAAGCTTAAAATCTCGTAAAATCGAAAGCAATGATGTAAAATTTAGAAAGAATATGTGAATATACAAGTAATAGTTCGATTCAATATAAAAAAAATGGAGAACATAAAATATAACAATCTTTAATCCATAGTAAAAATACTTTGATTTGCTTTAGTAAAAACTTTGATTTACTATAATAGTAAAAACTTTGAAACTATAGGGGTTAACTTTAGTATTTTTTGTTATGATAGATTTATTATTTATGAGTTTGTAAGATTGATGATTTGACGGGAAAAGTTACTGCCAATTCAACAAATCTTCGAAAAAAATTCATAAATCAAAATTGTTTTTCTAAATATATATAAATATATAATGTATTTACTTCCATTACATTCATGGGTTAAAAAAGATGTTTTCTGATCTAATATATAGGCAAGTTTGCATTTCATATGCTTACCTTCAAAATGACAACTCTCAGTTTTTCAGAACATGATGGTCATGCAATATTTACTGACTTGCAGCAATGACATGATCTACGAGTATCTTTTAAAACATTTACATGTATGCCTATAAAGGTAAAACAGTTTTACATAGAATACTTCCCCCGGCGACACAAATGATGGCGGTATCAAATTTTCTTGCTTAATGTTTTTGGTTTAGTTTGTTTCTGAATATTGATAAATCAGCTTATATATTGAAAAATGGCTGAAATTTACGGTATATAAGCAATGGCAAAGTAAACTTACAGGAAACATTGATATAGAATGATTGACTCCTGCTCCCAAACTCGGTTGATTTTCCATCACAGCTGTAAGTAGATGTGTCAGAACATTGAGCATCTGTTTTCAACGTGTAGTTTAATTGTTTTTGCCAAAGAATCTGGTTGCCAGTGTGTTTTCTGAGGGTGACTTCTGGAGTGGGATTTCCCCCAATGTGACATATAAGACTTAGAGGATTACCTTCATTCAGTGTTGATGAATTTTGGAGTATTTCATTGATGTACACTTGGGGGTCCAATAAATCTGAAAAAAAGGTTCATAGGGCAATTATGTCATCCTAAAATGAAAAAGTTGTAACATGAATATATAAAGTAGTATTTGTTTTGTGCATGCCGTTCGCATTAGTCTATTAATTGGATTTATTATTATGATTGAATAATTCCTTTCTTTCTGATTGGCTGAGATCCAACAATGTAGAAAAAATACTAGTTTTATTCACCTGCAAGTGACCTTCCAAGTGAATATAAGGATTTATTTTCCTCAATATTAGATGAAAAATAGACTGAGTAATTCCAAATTGATACAAATAGTTTTGGTAAGTTCCACTCATATGAACATAACATTATAGCACACAGATTCTTGGGTGAGGGGTGGGGGTTTGCAGGACGCTTGCCCCTCTTCCCACCTATTTTGAGAATGTAAAGTTTTAAATTAAATTTTAAGGATAAAAATTTTCAATGAAAGCCCCCTTCTATCATTTACGGACCATAAAATCCAACCAAATAAAATGTTGAGTTGGGGGAATTCTTTTCTTTTTTTGGAGGGTGAGCTAGTCAAAGATTTGTTTAAAGGTAAGTTGTCAATTTTCATCCTTGTAATGCCTCCTTTTTCAAAATCAATCCTATATCTGTGCCTGACATTTATTTTTTCTGGATTGCACCTAAAATAGAATTAAAAATTCTAAAATAATAAGACTGTTGATGTTTTTAACCCCGTTTCTCCCATTATGTTTGGCTTCAGTAAATGTAAACAAGTAAGTTGGCTTGGATTACTTAATGAGTGTGTGTCATTTAATCATCGAATCATGTAATTAAACAATTATTGCTGTTTTTTCAGTCAATACGATGATTTAGCCACCTTCGAAGTACAATATTCACCTCGCCCTTCGGGCACATAAATATTATACTACTCAGATGTCTGAAACATCATATTGACCTCAAAAACCAGCAATAATTGTATAATATACGCAACTGATATATTTTTTTTATTCTCATTTTGGGTCTTTTCTGAGCAATAAAAATGAACAAAGCAACACGAAATTAAATTAAAAAACAGAGATGTATTCAGCATTCAAATGTGACAGCACGATATTCTTAAAACTCGTTAATGGATATATATTAATGTGGAATAAAATTATTTCCATGACTTTAGGCATTTAATTACCAATATTTCTCTGATGGCTTTTCATAATCTAAATGATTTGAATCTTTCTTGGTTAGTTATTGATTCTCTTTTGGTCGATTGGTCTTTGTTAGAATTTACTCTGAGTCAAGATTTTGAATCCAGACTTTAATAATTTTCCAAACGTGACCTTTTACACACAATTGAGTTCTACGTCAATGACATTACTAGTACTTGAACAATAGTTCAGTGCATTTCTTTTCTACATATAACATTAAATCCATACATTGGCAAAAAAAAAAAGTTTGCAATCAAAGAAAAAATTTGGATATCAGGTCTTTTTTCTTAGCTTAAATGAATATGGAGAAACAAACAGTATTTAAGCTCATTGAAAACAATACAAATCGGGAGCAGAGCCAACATGGACCTCCAAAAACATCAGAGGTGGGAGCAGGTGCCATGGAGGACTGAGCATCCCCTGCTGACCCCCGCCGTGTGCCTCTTGTCATGATCGGGAAATAACGCAAGCATCCGTCAACAATTCGGTCTGTAAATAATGGCCTAACAGTTGGTGAAAAAAACGTCAGTCAGCATATGACTTAATGATAGATTGTATTTGCTGACATGATCATTGCCTCGACCATAGAACTTGCGAAATGATGATTTAAAACGAGACTGTTGATATTCTTGTTTCATCAACTTGTTTGTCAATAACTTACCTCGTTTTAGAAATTGTTCATACGTAGAGTATGCTCTTTCGTATCGACTCAATTGAGAGATATACACTCCATATGCAGGTGACAAGGGTATATTGCTGCATAAGTAAGGGAAGTTGACGATTGAAAAGTTAAAGTCATCACGTTTATCATAAAGCTTTGTTGTTAGATTATCATTAACTTTTTTTCTTGTAAAATATCCAAATATGAAACAGATGCGCCAGACTCTGTGGTATCCTTTATTTCAAGCTCACTGGGATATATTGTGTCGACATATGAATGGAAATAACTATTGTTAATTCATAATGCGTCGTCGATATATCTAACTGTCGAGTTGAAGGCCACAGCAAGAGATTTCTGTTTCTCTTCTATAAAAATTTGAAAAAAATTCTGCTTCATATGAATATAAAAATAGATCGACCCAAATGATTTTTTTCCGCAGTAGCCTCTGGACCCACAATCCTTTGGGAATTGCATCTCGCCGTAAACTACTTTCTTTGCGGTAACAGCAAAAGTTCACCCCAAAAAAACCTCACCTTGATTTAATGGATATTGCAGATAAATAGTAGATGAAACGTTCGTTGTTAAAATTTGCACTTTTCGGTAATGCAACTAGGATAAGCATAACGACGACACGTGGCCTCAGAGTCTAGACTTTCCAAGCCACGTGCAGTTTGAAGAGGCGGACCTAAATTTAAAACTGAAAAGGTATCTGCGCTCGCTGTAACGATCGCACCCTCAACATATTAGAATTTACTTACATAGAATTTTTAACTTGATGACATCAGTCTTACGACCTTCACTGTTGCTGGCTACACATCGAATCAGAGTCATCCTAGTTCTTTCTGCGATTTGCTTTGGTAAAGATAATGGAGAAATGCCATAGGATGTAACATTTGCAAAATCTCCTGACGGATGTTTATACTTCCACTGCAAGGTACAAGGTGGATTACAGTCAGCTGAACAGTTGTACGGACCAAATGGGTCCCCGTCTTTTAGTGTTATTGTATCATTAAGAGGTTTTGGGGTTATTATAATACTTTCTGGACCATCTGTTAAGTAGAAAAATGGAACAAAAATGATCACTTGAAAACTACATATACACTATATTTCTGAGGCTTATGACTAGCTGGTATTCAATTACTCTAAGAAATGATGGATTTATCAACTAACTAACATGCAGGTTACAGTGTATTGTGATATACCTAATTTGCTTAAAGTAATGGAATTCAACAGGACAATTATCGTTCAACGAAAACGATTAATCTATTCACTCTGACTGAAAAAATGCCCTCTTTCTTTATAAATACATGTATATAATATTCAGTAAAAAAAAATTTTTTAAAACCTTTGAAAAAAAAATCCTCCTTACTGTTTCCGTAATGAAATACAGATTTAGAAAAATACAATATTCTTCAATTGTATAGGAAAAGTTTATTCAGCAGAAAACTCAATAAAAAATATAAGCAAGTTTCTCTATCCAATCTACTACTATAAACTTTTAATATTTAAATGGATAATTTTGCAATGTTAGAAAAAAGTAGTTTTGAATTTTGATATAATTTATAGGCTTTCTAAAAAATAACGTCATTTATAGTAGATGTACATCCACAACTGTGCTAATTGATATTCAATGATTTCTGAATCTTTACATTAGCTGAACTAGTGGTTACAAAATAAAGAATACTGCCAGTTTTCCATTTTCCAAGTGCTATCACTTAAATTCATTTAGTAAATTTTTCAGCTAGAAATCTTATAAAATAAAGATAAAATTCATGCCCTAAGCGGATGGTATACATGTCATCGTTTGATATAAGATCAAATAAGGTAATTTCTTAAAATTAGACGTCATGAATTGAATTGTATTGAGTATTTTTAGCTCCAATGGTCAAAGACAGGAAGAGTTTATGCCATAGTAAGGTGTCTGTCATCCGTCCAGTGTCTTGCTCTTTGTCTGTCTGTTAACAATTTCTTTAAATTCTATTTCTTCCTACAGTTTGATTCAATTTTTATATAGCTTTGTGCACAAGTAGACAATATTTTGATTCATAATTCTCTAAATCTGTTTTTGATTTCGTCGAATGGGATTGTCATAGTTGCTAAAAATAAAAATTTTTGTGAAATTCTTTCAAAACGCCACTCCTCCTACAGTTTTAGTTCGATGCAAATATAACTGGATACACAAGTAGACTTAATCATGATACAAAATTCTGTCAAGATGTACCTTGTAGCCATAGTTACTAAAAATAAGAAATTTCTGTAATTTTTCTCAAAGGCTAGTTCAACTACAGTTCTTGTACAATTGCAATTAAATCTGCAACAAAGAGAGACCAAACCAAGAATCATTATTTTATTTATTGCTGTTGCAATAGTTTCAAGTCCAAGTTCAACTTTTCTCTACCTATGTTAATTAAAAACCGGTAGAAAACGGTATGATACACTTGCTCACTTTTCATTTATTTATATATACATATACATATGTATATACAAGAATCAAAATCACGATGAATAATTACTTACACAAAGGGTTAATCCGAGTTTCTTTACTTCTTTCTGATTCAATTGTTTCTTTTGCCTGACAACTGTATCGGTTGTATTTAACTTCTTTGGTTACAATTATTCTGTATTTTTCTCTTTCCTCCCTCTTAACCCTGGTGTTGTTAACAAACCAGAAATATAATAATGGCGAAAACTTTTTGTAATAGTGAGGAGTAGAAGTAGATCTACTTTCACATTTCAAGTACGCGTAGTATCCAACCTTAACGTCCAGGATTCCTCTTATTTTAGGTTTCTCTGGTTTTCCTGAATGAAAATATTTAAATGTTGAGTAAATGAATAAAAGGTGATTTCTAAATAGATTTAAATAGATTACATGCAACAATATGAAGAAAAACTGCCTTTGTGGGAAAAGTTTACTAATGATATTGCCAAGGGATGTAACAACACAAATCAGAAAACGTTTGAATCAATCTATATCAAGTTTTTTTTATGCTTTCTGAATTCACGTTTTATTCTAAAACTGGTTGGTTTATTTTCAGTAAATATTAATGTAATGTCAGCATTAGCCACACCAAGCAACAGGGAGGACAACCATGTCATGATCACATGCGTTTGATTCCACGCGTATAGTTTGCCATAGATTTCTCAAAACGTCAGTTGTGTATTTGAAAGAAGTTGAATAAACTTGATGTCAATCTAAGCTTGCCTCCGATATGAGGGTTGATTGAAAACAATTCACTGCAAACGGAAAATGCTTGCTAGTACAAAAATGACGAAACGTAAGATGAAAAAGGACTCTCTGAGTATCAAGATGCCGGTGAATATTTTTCGAAGTTTTCTGATGAAAACGGAAACGGGGAAACTGAAAGCCGTTCAAAAAGTGAACTAAAAGGCAATCTCCAACTTTTCTGACGTTTTCATATATCAATGAGACATTCAGTATTATGAAACAAATAGTGTTTGTTTTTAGTTGAAATTGATACCCCGGGTAAAAACCATTGTTAACCGATGAGTCAGCGGAGGTTGACAAATGGTGTCTATCACCCTCATTTGCATATCGGCCACATAGACAATATAGTTGTTGCAGATTCCATAAAGGCTAAAATAGAGAAAATACAAAAAATGCTAATTATTATATAACAACTTTTTCTGATAAAGGACTAGTTTTTTGTAAAATATTCTACCAAAAATTACAAGATTGTTTACATCAAATTGAAAGTTGTGACCACCATTTCAATTTGAAAATTGGAAGTAAGCATGTATTGTCTTTTTGATGAGAACGGAATTGGCTTATATATTATATATTATGATGAAATGTAAGTGTTTATTGCAAGTTGATATAGTTCTTCTGTCGGTTATTAAGTGTAGGGGCCTTTTTTTTTTACAGGGAATTTAACAAGAGGCCCAAGGGCCTTGAATCGCTCTTCTGATAAACTGTACAACCTATCACTTCTATTTGAAGCCTCTTAGTATCCTGTTTATTTAGATAAAGCCTTGAAATTCCAAAGGTAGGTAGTCATGACCTGCATTTAAGATGAAACACTCTGAGAACCCATGATCATTCTAAGCCAATTAGTACCTGAGAGTTGGTCATGGTGACCTACTTATCACTTTCTGAGGACCCAAGATGCAGCAACTAAGTTTGACAACTCTAAGCCAATTAATACCTAAAATATTTTTTTAAAATTATATCCATAAAATTTCAAAAATAGGTCACAGTGACCTCCTTTTCATTCGACTAACTCTGCGTACCCAAGATGCATAAATTGAAAAAAAGTTTGATGATTCTAAGCCAATTAGTACCTGAAATATTCAATTAAAGCCATAAACTTTGAAAAGTAGGTCACGGTGACCTACTTTTCAGTCGACCCACTCCGAAGACCCAAGATGCATCAACAGACAAAGTTTGATGATTCTTAGCCAATTAGTACCCGAAAATATTAAATACATCCATAAAATTTCAAAAGTAGGTCAGGGTGACCTACTTTTCAGTTGTCGTACTCGAAGGGCCCAAGATGCATCAACTGACAAAGTTTGATGATTCTAAACCAATAGTACCCGAAGCCATAAATTTTCAAAAGGTCACAGTGACCTCGCAGCACAGTTAAGGCTGCAGTAAGGAGGCGGGGCCTAATTTATACGATAAATGCTTACTATGATATCACACAAAAATATAAGTTCTTCAAATTACCACAAAATAAAGTGATTTGCTATTTTAAACTGTTGAAAAACTTTAAACTACATCAATACTAACAAGTGCATGCATTATTGTCGTTGGTAAAATCCCACATAGCAATATATAAACAATTCACTTATCGCAATGCACTTGTCAATGTGACGTCATATCGTAAAATTTGACGCAGTTTGTATGCAGTGAGAGGCTGATCAAGTTATATTTATACAATGAAAAATGTATTTTGTAATTAAATAAAATCTAAATTGTAGATATATAAGAGGCCATTAACTTTGATGCGATGTCTGTTTTATGATTTTATTCAAATACTTACCGTACATTCCCTAGACAAAAGATACTGTCGTATATTTGTATGCAGATTCATTGAAGGGTAATAGAAGGGACGTAATAAATCTATATATTGCAAGGGCATACCCTCAATGAATTAGGACAAGCTTTTACACATAAACTCAAGAAGTATGAAGATATTTGAAAAGTGCTGCGAACCTGTTGAAAGCTTGCAAATGAATTAATTATATCTATATTTAATGTACTTGACCAGCAAAATATTCAACATACGGTCTAACAAATGTAATTTTAGCAATTAGATAGTAGAATCTATATAGGTTCGCAGCACTTTACACAAACTACAGAGTGTGTTAAAATTTATTATATGTTAAACTTAGATTTTTAACTTGGTTATGCCCTTGCAATATTAGAATTTATAGATGACCTCAATACTTCAGGTATATTTGCTAAAATCACGTGACAAGTCTAAATAAGAAATCTAATCGTCCTCAACATGTAGTTTTCAACCACATTACATTTGTCCGATAATAGTAAAGTCCTAAAGAGAAACGCCCATCCTTGTAAAGAATGTATTTTCTATCTAAAAAATTCTCCGATATTTCCATTTGGCACCTTAACTGTACTGCGCTGTTGTACTTTGAGGACCCAAAGTGCATTAACTGACAAAGTTGGATGATTATAAGCAAATAAGTACCCGAAAGAGTTAATTAAAGCCATAAAATTTCAAAAGTAGGTCAGAGTGACTTACTTTTCAGTTGTCGTACTCCAAGGACCCAATATGCATCATCTTACAAGATTTAATGATTCTAATCCTCTCAGCATTCGAATTACTGACTTTAATTGTTTTGAAAAAAGATTAGCCATAAAATTCATAAAATAGGTCAAGGTGACCTACTTTTTAGTAGACGTACTCCAAGGACCCAAGATACATCAACTGCCAAAGTTTGATGATCATAGGCCTTAAATTGTCCAAATTATGCCTCTAAAACTTTTTGAAATCGAATGCCTGCAAAGTTCAAAAAGTAGGTACTGTGACCTACTTTTTATTAGATATGTTTTATTGCCCCAAGATGCATCATTTTACAAGATTTAATTATGCTAAACCTCTCAGTATTCGAATTAATTACCTTAACTGTTTTGAAAAAGATTAGCCATAAAATTCAAAAAGTGAGTCAAGGTGACCTACTTTTTAGTTGAGGTACTCCGAGGACCCAAGATACATTAACTGACAAAGTTTGATGATCATAGGCCTTAAATTGTTCAAAATATGCCTCAAAATTTAAAAAAAGTAGGTCACTTTGACCTACTTTTGAGTCAACATGATTTGAGGTCCTTAGATGCATCAACTGACGAGATTTAATGATCCTAGTCCTTATAGTAAGCAAAATATTTTGGTCAACTTTGAAGTGATGTTGAGACCACGCCCTCTGCCCCAGGGTAAAGAAGAAGATTTTTTAGCAACCAGTACTTTTGTTTCTATTTTCCTAATTATCTCCCCTTGTTTAAGGGTCACAACCCTAGTTTTATTTGACAATAATTGGCCAAGGGGTTCTTGATTTATGGCCCATATTCTAAAAAGTTTATGCACACCGCATAAATGGCCATAGCATTAGCTCTTTGAGCCTTTGGCTCAGAATAGCTAAAAATTCGTAAATAATTAAGACAACCTTTTCAATTTGAACTTGACCTCTTTATTGTTAAGAATACCGGTGTAATGAGCTGTCATCTGTTAACGACACAAAATAATACCAATATAACCCTGAAAGAGGCTTGAAGAAAAAAAAAAAAAAACACATACAATATGAATAGGGCTCACCTTTTAATATTAAAAATAAATAAAATGGAATTTCGAGTTTAGGCAGGATCTTATGAATATGAATGGGAAATAAATCACGTGGGATGAATTTCATGAATAAACTTACACCTTTTCTCCATATGATTTTCCTTATAAGATTCTAAAAAAAATTACCAGAAACGACGAGAACAACTCCTCCTCCCTGCGACCAAACGTCTTCCTCTGATCCACCTCCTACGTAATATCCGGCATCTTCTGTTGTTATATTCCTCACTTCGAACAAAATGTTCACAGAATCAAAGGGTCGAGTATGGTATACATATTTTTTGTTTGGAATTCGTAATGTTTCAGTTACTTGAAATTTTTTTGACAGCTGATCGCTATAAACATGATATATGTAGTAAACTTTACTACTAGGAAAATATTCAACAGTCCAAGAAATGTTTCTTGATTTGCCCTCCTGAGATACTATTGTAGTAACTAAAACAAGAAAATCAAATGTTAGTGCATAGAAAGAAGCACACATAATTTATTCAATCAATTACACGGATCATGGTATCCTAGTAGTAGGACGTTCGTTGCGTTTCAGGAGGCCCGGAGTCAATTCTTGTTCGCTGCGCCGCGTCAAACCTAAGACGTTGACATAGATAGTGACTGTCTACCCGACATTAAAAGTGAAAGTCACTGGTCTTTCGGGTGAGACCTGAAAAACCCTGATGAAGTGTCACGGTAGCGTTGGCACGATAAAATCAAAGGTGGAAAAATATACGAACAAAACGAAATTCATAAAATACAAGAGAAATGCACTGTTTTACTCTTACAGCGTATGAGGACAATAATTTTTTATGCGTTCTTTTCTTTTTTACAAACATTGGTCCAAATCCAACTCCTTCATCCCTCCCAAACACACAAGCACCTTCCCAAACCACTTCCAGTTGTTCACATACTAAGTATACTACAAATATACATAACTGTACTCACGGGTGACAAACGTTGTGATTCAATTGGTCAAATGCTATAAAAGTCAATGGAGTAAATATTTTTTTAAGTATAAAAAAAGAAAATTAGTTTTCGATAATTTTTCACTCATTTAGAGACATCACCATTATACCGGTGAAGGGCTTCAAAGAAGATGGGTGAACAAGGCGGGCGAAGTGCCTATAGTGGGACAAACATGGAGTGAAAAATAAAATCTCAATTATATCAAAATTTACCTTGATATTTCATCTGACATTAAAGTATAATACTTTATATAAAATCTCTACAATTTACAAAAATCTCACAAAAACTGAAAATATTTGCCTACGAAATAGCATACACACACTAAAGAGGACAAAAAGGATCAATTTTTCATACTTCAACAAAATTTTTCGATATGAGTGGGTCTTCGCTCCATTTTTTTGAAAGTTAATCCTAAAAGTTTGAATAAAAATATACATTTTTTTGGATTACAAGAACATGGAGCGAAGACCTACTATGCCTTAAAAGTACACTTTTATGACAATGCATTCGCATCTTTCCGAGATATACTTGAAATCCATTTAGTCAAGGGTCATATCACAAACATGATTTAAATGCCACTATTCATCAGGAGCTGTGTAGCGTAGTGGTTAACTTGTTAGTCTTAAAGCAATATGATACTCAGGATTTTTATTGTAAGGGGTTCGAATCCCACAAATACCATTTTATTTATTTAATATAAGAATAATTTTTTTCGAGATCTTTTTTCTCCGAAAAGTTTTGTTGATCATAATTTTATAAATTTCAATAATGAGAACTTTACTTTAAATACTCAATTCACAAATTGAATATGATTTTTTTTTTAAATCTGAAGCTATAGGCATTCTGCACGCCTTGTTCACCCATCTTCTTTAGACCATTACTCAGCACTCAGGGCCATTGAGCAGTGAGAGTACCAAGGCCTACAGTGACAAGGGGCCTCCGTTTTTAAGGTCTCATCTAAAGGAATCACAACTTTCACTTCAAGGTACCGAGCGCTTTGAAAAAGAACAGTTACTACCTATTTCATATCGACTACCACCTGAACCAACGTGAGGCCTGAAGAGATTGTAAAATTAAACTATTCCAGATAAAAATTCCGTTTTTAAGACTTATTTTCGTCGATTATTCTTTAATTCTAGTAGAGATTCAATTAGTCCCGATAATTAAAAAACTTCAATTAAGTACAATGTTCATAACATTCAAACTAAAATTAAGTTCCTGATAACTCCCTCTTTTTTTGGGGGGGGGGGGGGTAAAGGATGTTTCTATTTATTGTTTTCTATGGGCCTGAACAAAGACAAATCATTTTAATCTATATTAAGCATGTATATATATTTCATCCGTACTTAACGGGCTGTCTTGGTTTAACAAACTTGGTCACTGGTCACTTTGTAATACCTTCTCACAAACAAATCAACTTTGAAACCCGTATAACTAAATCTTATTAATCGCCAGTCACTTGTCATTTTTTCAACTACATTGCGACTCCTATTTATATTTCTGATGAATGCGACTAACATAGATTAATAAACATTGCCAATAACTCCGAAACACCTGCACCATAGTTCATACTTACTCCTGTAATATGACGAGATGATGTCCGTAAACTTTATTTATATTTCACTCCAAAGTAATTATTGTCAATCCAATTAAAAGTCTATTTTTATTTTCGATAAACAGCCGTGAAATAGCAAAAAAAGAGACTACGGTGGTGGTTGGCGGATCTACATTGCTGGCAATTTTTAATGAAACTGACAACAAACAATCGTATGATTATTTGATAAAACGTGCTTACTGATTAAAAAAACAAAATGTGCAAATCATTTTTTTCAGCCCCTGTCGTACTTTTGGTGCAAATTTCTAGAACGTCGGATGGCATTGAACCTATGTTAAAAGGAAAACAAGGCGATTATCACTACGTGAATAAGGAGCACCAAAGTTGCCTTATGTGGAGAACATTCATTATATGTTGATACTTTGACATTATTTGCTGATATCTTGTCATTATATGCTGATACTTTAACATTATATGATGATACTTTAACAATATATGCTGATACTTCGACATTATATGCTGATACTTTGACATTATATACTGATACTTTCACATTATATGCTGATACTTTATCATTATGTGCTGGTACTTTAACATTATATGATGATACTTTAACATTATATGCTGATACTTCAACATTACATGCTGATACTTTGTTATATATGCCGATACTTTGTCATTATATGCTGATACTTTAATTGTCATTATATGCAAATGCCTCAACATTATATGCTGATACTTTTACATTATATGCTGATACTCTGACATTATATGCTGATACTTCATCATTATATGCTGATTCTTTGTCATTATATGCTGATACTTTAACATTATATGCTGATACTTTGAATTATATGCTGATACTTTAACATTAAATGCTGATACTTCAACATTATATGGTGATACTTTAGCATTATATGCCGATACTTTAGCATTATATGCTGATACTTTAACATTATATGATGATATTTTGTCATAATATTATGGAATGCCTCAGCTGTCTTATGTTGCGAAGATTCATTATATGCTGATACTTTAACATTATATACTGATACTACAATATTATATGCTGATACTTTGACATTTTATGCTGATACTTTAACATTATATGCTGATTCTTTGGCATCATATAGCTAAAATAGTCTGTTTTCCCCTTAAACTTCAATATGCGAACAGAAGAATTGAAGCGGGTAATATAAGTAATATTCTTAATCACAAAAGGGCCCAGTCTTGTATTCCACCATATTTCAAGTTAAAGACTACACCTTATATTTCCTACAAATATACATCGACTATTGCTTCTAAACTTTTTAATTTCAAGAAAACTTTACAGGGCCTGGATATCGAATATCTGAAACATAATCCTCCATCGTGTTCATGTTCTTCTTCACCCTATAATTATAGTCCTGCTGGACACGTTATTACTGGTGACGTAAATGTAGTTAATAATGAGAACCTTAGATCACTAATTTTAAAAGGTCCTAAATATAGGGAACCCCGATCCTCCAACTGGCGTCGGAATTTCATAAATATTATGGATTCTGTAGAGGATTACGTCTGGCGATGGGCCAGACATGAAAAGAAGACCTTGACACTTTGTCAGAATGGATAAAATGTATACAAATGTAAATGTATGTTAAAATCGCGCATTAAAAGATTGAGGGGCAATATGAGAACCATCTATCCTTCTGTTTTCAATAATCCAAAGTGAAAAAAGAATTAGATAGATTACAGGACCAGTACGTTCTGGTCCCTGCTGACAAAGCAGGTAACAACATTGTCTTTGTGAGGCTAATTATATTAGATGTAGTTTAGAGGAACTTGGATTTAATTCTACAGGTGGTAATTCAACTTATTCTCATAGTTCTCTTTCTAAGGAAGAGATTCTTCAAAATCATATGTCAGTTTTGAATATTTTCAATATTCCAAACAACCAAAATGAATTTGAATTACCATATCTATATTGGATTCCGAAACTTCATAAAAATCCTAACAAAGATACATAGCGGGTTCCAGTTAATGTTAAACCAAGCCTCTTTCTTTACTCCTCACTAAGATATTAACAGTAGTGAAGGAGAAACGTCAAGAGTACTGTGGAACAATATATTTGAGAAGTGGTGTAAATCAGATGTGGATACTTAAAAATTCAAAGGAACTTTTGGAAAATTTGAAATCACAAGATTTTACCAAAATCAACAGCTTAAAAATTCACGACTTTTCAACTTTATACACAACCACCACGATAAATTAAAGTCCAGGCTTTTTGATATCATTGACAGCTGTTTTTTTTTTCAATAAAAAAAGAACTCGTAAATTTATTTACCTTGTCATTGGTCATTTGCAAAATTATTTTGTTAAAAAACATTCTGATTGTATACACAAGTACTCTGAAGTTGACATTAAAAAGATGCTTGAGGTTCTGATTGACACTATCTATGTGGTTTTTGGAGACCAGGTCTTCCAGCAATCTATTGGAATTCCCATGGGTACCAATTCGCCCCGTTATTAGCAGACCTTTTTTGTATTTATATGAAGCAGAATTTGTCCAAAATCTTATACGTGAAAAGAAGATAACACTTGCTGTGGCGTTCAATTCGACATTTAGATATATCGACGACGTATTGTCAATTAACAATGGATACTTCCATTCTTATGTCGATACGATATATCCCGGTGAGCTTGAAATGAAAGATATTACAGAGTCTGACACATCTATTTCCTATTTGGATATTTTACTTGAAAAAGACGTTAATGGTAATCTAACATCCAAGCTTTATGATAAACGTGATAACTTTAACTTTTCAATCGTCAACTTTTCTTACTTATTCAGCAATATACCTTAATCACCTGCATACGGGGTTTATATCTCTCAGTTGATTCGATACGCAAGAGCATGCTCTACGTATGTACAACATCTAAAACAAGTTGCTTTCCTTTAATGCAATACGTGGACCATATCCATGTGTTTTTAGGCGAAATTCAAAGAAAATTTCTAGATTTAGTGATTTTACAAAGGCGAAATTAAATTTTTTTTTACATGTATATTGTAATTTTCATCGTTATTTACGTCTGCTTAATAACACTGTAATGATGAAAAAAAAATCATGACCTTGAAATGGTGTGAATATGAAATGTTGATCTAGGTATATATCTATCACAATTGTTAAGTAGCCTTTAAAATTAACAACAGAATTAAAAGAGGCTTAAGCGTACAAAAAGGTATCGTAATGGTGGAATTTTAACTACATTTGCAGATCTAGGGAAAGGGGGTCGGTTGTTGGAACCCCCTTTATTTTTGCAGAAAGAGGAAGAGAGAGTATGTTTTTTCTGTAATATAG